GAGAGAGATGGATGGATGCAGATGAACTTGTGGAATTGTTTCCCCCTCAATAAAAGTTTCATAAGGCTGTTTATTTATTATTTGATTTGGAGCTTCTTTTTAAAAGCATTTTACACCAGACCACAACATGCACAAGGCGAGTGTGTATTTTCTAGCTGTCAATCAATACCTGTCAATCACCTCAAAGTCACGCGCTGATAAATAATATACCAGAAACTCTTAGAAAACATACTTATTTTAAGGAACAAACTATTAAGATAGACACGAATGTGACCGGAAGTATTATGACCGACAGAACATCTAAATATTTAAATATTTAAAATGCCCCCCCCCCTCCCCTCCCCATCCCCATCCCATTTTAAACGAATCAGCAGGTACAAAGAATCAAATTTACAAATATTGCAAAAGGTTCCATATTTCCCTAGTCAAGTACGGCTTTTATTTTACTTCCGTTTTATTCCAAAATAAAAGTCAAACTTTTAGAAATATGTCACTACATAATAAAGACACGAATACAGTGGTGTTTGCTCTTTTATAATCATATCCCCTAGTATGTTGAAGGTGCACAAGCTCTTAGCTTTCATAACAGGACTGCACAAAAAAAAAACAATAGAAAAAAAAGACTGCAAAAAAAAAAGAAAGAGTACACATTTATTTTTATTCATTTAGCGGACGTGTTTATCCAAAGCGACTTACAAATGAGAAAAATACAAGCAAAGCGATATATCAAGCAAAGAACAATACAAGTAGTGCTACCGTACAAGATCCATTAATTGAGTTCCAGAAGAACTTTTGTTTTGTTTTGTTTTTTGGGTTTTTCTTTTAGGGGTTGGTTAGGTGTTCACGGAAGAGGTGGGTCTTTTGCTGTTTTTTGAAGATAGTGACAGACTCTGTAGTCCGGATTGAGGTTGGAAGTTCATTCCACCACTGAGGGACACTGAGGAACAGATAGTTTGAAGGTTCTGGAAAGGGACCTTGAGCCACGCTGAGTAGGCACTACTAAGCGTCGGTCGTTGATTGATCGCAGATTGTGTGAGGGAACATAAGCCTTCAGGAGAATGTTGAGGTAGGAGGGTGCTTTTCCAGACAAGGTCTTGTACCAAGGCCTTGAACTTGATATGGGCAGCTACAGGAAGCCAGTGGAGGGAGATGAGGAGGGGTGTGACATGGGTTGTCTTTGGCTGGTTGAAGACGAGGCATGCTGCTGCATTCTGAATCATCTGAAGGGGTTTGATGGAGCTGGCTGGGAGGCCCGAGAGTAGTGCATTGCAATAGTCCAGTTTTTATATAACAAGAGCCTAGACACACACACACACACACACACACACACACACACACACACTAAATAAATGTAAACCCTTGGTAAATTTAAGTTTGTTCAGGCAACAACAAACAAATATTGACCAAAACGCAAGTAACTGCTTTAAAAAAGCGGATGCAGTGAACTCTACAGCATTTCACCCATGTTTCTCTCACATACAGTTCCTAACTAAGATGCTACAAAGAAAACTAACTACCTAACTACTACAACATACTAGTTGCAAGATACGTTTGTGCCTGTACACTCTATGTAAAATATCCAAATGCATTTTTCAACCTAATGGTAAACGAATATTTTCTTCATGATTTAACCCTCTTGACCTTGCTAGTTCGGTTCATGTTCATAGTCTCAGCATGTGTGAATTGAACTATGTCGCGGAGTAGAATAGTCCAAATGCACAAACTACTTACAGTGTAAGCCTGTTACCTTTAGGAAGGATTTCTAATACCAGCTATATGCAAACGTTTACATCCTTCCCATCAGATAATACATTGATTTCACAGGTTATTAGACACAACCATAGCAGCACTCATTGGTCTGTTAATCACGTACACCTACGCTGTATGTGTACTTTGTAGGTATACAATAACTGATTTTTTTTTTTTTTTTTCTGCACACATTTTTTTTGCATCTCCATCTACCCCATCCATCAGTGTAATAGACCTATGGACCACCACTGAGCGGATATTTTTTTGAATGGTGAACTATTGCATATTATAGTGTGTGTGTGTGTGTGTGTGTGTGTGTGTGTGTGTGTGTGTGTGTGTGTGTGTGTGTGTGTGTTGCACTGGTATAGGTGTGCGTGGTATTTACAGGTTTTCACATCTTCTTGCAACGTTATTTAACACTTCTTGGTGCACCTTATATGATACCATAACATATTTTGGTTAATCATCTGCTCTCAGACCGCAGTCCTAGAAGACCACAAGACTACAGAGTTTAGACCTCTGCCTTATTAACACGTTCAGCTGATTAAAAAAAAAAAAAAAAAAAAACAATTACTAAGGGTTTGTTTGGGTTTGTTAGAAGTGGGGAAAATCTATGCAGGACTACAACCAACAGGATCTGAGTTTAACACTGCTGCTCAAGTTCTGATCACAGGTCGTCTGTATACTTAAATACTTGGCTTGGAGATGACTCAATCCAAAAAAAAAAAAAAAAAGCAGTGGTATCGTTATAAAAGCCCAGCACCACTGCTGTGCCAACACCACGTGATCATATCACTGCTGTGCCAACGCCACATGGTCCCTTTACACTGATGGCTAAAGTAGTGGGGACCTGACACATTGTACGTTCTAGGTCTGCAGTGAGTGACTCTGTGTTTCCAAACCGAAACGATAGGGGGCGTCTCGTCACAGTTATTCGTCCCTGTTTGAGTCTTTTATTCTATTAAAAAAAAAAAAAAAGTGACTTCCGGTGACCGTTGTGTAAAACTAGCTGGTGTTGTCTTCGCAGGATTACTGGACCCTCGAACATTGACAACACGTTCAGAATGCAGTGTTAGTGAGTTGTCACATCAGTCTGCCCGCACTGCAGAAGAGTGAGAGTGAACGTGTACGGCCGTTAAAACACGTTCCTGAAGAGGAGCTCTGCAGGAGAGGACTTCGGTGTGTTGTCATTAAATGATCCCCGAGGACCCTCGCCGATTTGCGGCGTGCCGGATGCAATAGCGCCTCCAGTAAGTCGCGGTTTGTCATGTCGGATAAACAGAGAGGACTCCCTTTGATCTGCAAACACAAACTAAACCAAACGAACTATTCTGTCCCCGTGAACACAGTGATAGTGAGTATGTGTGAACTGAGTGTGCATGCCGGGGATGATGGAGAAAACCCCAGACATGCAGAGTTATAAAAAGCCTCAGTGACAATCTACATCACACTTATTATTATTATTGTTGTTGTTGTTGTTGTTGTTGTTATCTTGCTCTGCATGTTTGTAAGCGATTTGTTTAGAAACTTCAACACCACAGTCAGATCAACCGCAAAGTGAAATCTGACTTAACATCCGATCTGACTCCGACTTGATGTCCCTGACTCCGACTTAACATCCGATCTGACTCCGACTTGATGTCCCTGACTCCGACTTAACATCCGATCTGACTCCAACTTGATGTCCCTGACTCCGACTTAACATCCGATCTGACTCCGACTTGAGTCCTGACTCCGACTTAACATCCGATCGACTCCGACTTGATGCCCCTGCTCCGACTTAACATCCGATCTGACTCCGACTTGATGTCCCTGACTCCGACTTAACATCCGATCTGACTCCGACTTGATGTCCCTGACTCCGACTTAACATCCGATCTGACTCCGACTTGATGTCCCTGACTCCGACTTAACATCCGATCTGACTCCGACTTGATGTCCCTGACTCCGACTTAACATCCGATCTGACTCCGACTTGATGTCCCTGACTCCGACTTAACATCCGATCTGACTCCGACTGATGTCCCTGACTCCGACTTAACATCCGATCTGACTCCGACTTGATGTCCCTGACTCCGACTTAACATCCGATCTGACTCCGACTTGATGTCCCTGACTCCGACTTAACATCCGATCTGACTCCGACTTGATGTCCCTGACTCCGACTTAACATCCGATCTGACTCCGACTTGATGTCCCTGACTCCGACTTAACATCCGATCTGACTCCGACTTGATGTCCCTGACTCCGACTTAACATCCGATCTGACTCCGACTTGATGTCCCTGACTCCGACTTAACATCCGATCTGACTCCGACTTGATGTCCCTGACTCCGACTTAACATCCGATCTGACTCCGACTTGATGTCCCTGACTCCGACTTAACATCCAACCAGACTCCGACTTGATGTCCCTGACTCCGACTTAACATCCAACCAGACTCCGACTTGATGTCCCTGACTCCGACTTAACATCCAACCAGACTCCGACTTGATGTCCCTGACTCCGACTTAACATCCAACCAGACTCCGACTTGATGTCCCTGACTCTGACTTAACATCCAACCTGACTCCGACTTGATGTCCCTGAAAATGTTTTGCTGGGACAAAAGTTTCATTTGGACTTGTTTGAACCCTGTCCAGGGTGTAACCCCGCCTTGTGCCCGATGCTCCCTGGGATAGGCTCCAGGTTCCCCCGCGACCCTGAAAAGTACTAAGCGGTAGAAGATGGATGGGTTATCTCTTCTTTGCACTCTGAAAACCTGTTGAACTTCTTGATCACATGTGAAATGCATGGTGGACGCCCTGTCCAAGGCTTTTCATCCATCTCCTACCCAAGACCAGGTTTGAAAATGGGCTGAAGTCGTAGGAGTTGCAGGGGTTTTTTTTTCATTAAAGTAGACCAATTAGAAAACATTCAGTAGATTCGGTGGCCCGTCAGTAGAGTGTGTACTGCTTAGAAAACGAATGTAAACGGTATAGATAAAAGCATTATTATGTAGCAGACAACAATCAACAATGACGTAAAAGTAGCTGCTAACAATAACGATTTACCCTAAGCCATTAGGAAAGATTTCACACCCAGCCAGAAGGCTAATTATGATTGTTAAATTAGTGGAATTGTCACAGGCTGTGCCGATGATGATGATAATAATAATAATAATAATAATAATAATAATAATAATAATAATAATAATAATAATAAGACTACTACTACTACTACTATTATTATTAGTAGTAGTAGTAGTAGTAGTAGTGGTAGCTCAGTGGTTACGACATTGGATTACTAATCATGGAAGTTCGGAAGGTCATGAGTTCAAATCCCAGCGCTGCCACTGCTGGGCCCTTGAGCAAGGCCCCTGACCCTCAACTGCTCAGTTGTATAAATTAGAGAAATGTAAGATGCTCTGGATAAGGGATTCCACCAAATTCCATTAATGTAATAGTAAATTATTTCCATTTAGTGTCAGTAATAAACCGCTTTAATATAAATATGGTAATTGGGTCAAACTCACAAACAGGGTCCGACATGCTGTGAGAGCTTAAAACGGCTGCTATTTTCTAAATGTGGTGTGTGTTAGGACTTATGCTTACAAGCAAAGAGAAAGGGCTGTATCACACCAATCTCCAGATGGATACCGACATCTGGTGTGTGGTTTGAGTGTCTAATCTGTTCATTTAAAGCATGTTTAGACACTCATGTACAGTTTAAAAAACAAATATAGGGTCTGCAGGCCTGCTAGAAGCCAAAATATGATCAAATCCGTTGTATGCAGCTAACAGCGCTCTTTGTTCTCCGTGGTGATGTTATTAATGTTTGCCCTTCTGTGACATTTAGAGTTAAAATAAGTTATAGGTTCACCAACCACTTTATTAGGAGCACCAGTACCTTCATGCAGTTATCCAATCAGCCAATCATATGGCGGCAGCACAATGTATAAATCGTGCAGACACGCGTCAAGAGCGTCAGTTAATGTTCAAACTTCCGAATGGGGAAAATGTGATTTGGGTTATTTTGACCGTGGTGTAGTTGTTGGTGCAAAAAACAAGAAAACATCCCGTGAGTGTTGGAACAATTGACGATAGTGTCGGGAATCATTGAAAGATTCCAAATATCGCAGTGGCTATTAAGTAGAGATGCACCGATACTAAGTTTCTCAGCTGATACCGATAACCGATTATTCGGACCGATATCGGCCGATACCGATACTTCTGCCTTTTATGCCTTCTTTTAAATGAATAATAATTCAACGATTCTGAAAAAAGTAAAAATGCAAATAAAACTTTATTCTCTCCATTTCAACAAGTCGTTTCACAGTAACTGGTCTCATCAACAAACACATTACTGTAATTAACATGAACACATGAACACCATTCTGAAGATTAATGTAAGATTATTAATTTATTGAATGTTCTTAATTCATACTAACATTGACTGAATTCTGTATTCAGACAATTTTAAATGCCTGTCAGAAAATGTGCTGTTGGCAACTTTATCTTGTAATACGTCATTGTCATTTTAGCCTATTTCCTAGAACTATAAGAGCGTTAATACCCTTAATAATGCTATTTGATGTTGGAGCAATCAGCAAAACATCTTTGTATGGTGTATTTTAATCCGGGTGCGCACTGTGCGACTTTTTTTAAAAGTCCTTTGCGACTGTTGCTTGTTGCTTGGAAAAATTTGATCGGAACGGCCGTTAATCGGCTGTCGGGGAACGCGTCAAACAAATGATCAAAGACTACAGGTTTTGGCCAAGGGTTATAGGAATCTTTTAGTCTTCTCAAAAGTTGTCTCAGACGACCAAATCGTGACCAGAATCATACGGCGTGAACCCAACTTTAGCTTCCCTTTGTCCGTGCTGCCAACCACATAAAACTGTGAATGTCTTCACCTGCAAAACATGACCAGGTGTTTAAATTCAGAACTCCGAGCTACTTCACTATGCATAAATAAAAGAAGTATCTCCGCAGCTGTTCAACACAGTGCACATGCGCGTGTAGTTTATATAATTTTATTTATGTTTTAGTAGTTACAGCTAATAACAGGGTTGTTTTGTTTACAGTATTCACTAACTAATTATATATTTTCTAAATGATGATTTGCCGCACAATATCTGCACAGTCGCTTACGCAATATCACATGAGACTCAGGAAACAGCAAGGCTGTGATTATCAAAATCATCTGAACCTACATAAATGGTTATTTTCATTGGTGGGGAGGGAAAATAATCATAGCTTGGTATGATTGCATTGGCTAAAAGAAGTGTTTCCAAGCAACAACAGGCCAGCTTCTCATTACTTCTCATTTACACAGGACAAGTCAGAGATATATATATATATATATATATATATATATTATATATATACACACAGTGCCTTGCGAAAGTATTCGGCCCCCTTGAACTTTTCAACCTTTTGCCACATTTCAGGCTTCAAACATAAAGATATAAAATTTAAATTTTTTGTGAAGAATCACCAACAAGTGGGACACAATTGTGAAGTGGAACGAAATCTATTGGATTTTTGAAACTTTTTTAACTAATAAAAAAATGAAAAGTGGGGCGTGCAAAATTATTCGGCCCCCTTGCGTTAATACTTTGTAGAGCCACCTTTTGCTGCGATTACAGCTGCAAGTCGCTTGGGGTATGTCTCTATCAGTTTTGCACATCGAGAGACTGAAATTCTTGAACATTCTTCCTTGCAAAACAGCTCGAGCTCAGTGAGGTTGGATGGAGAGCGTTTGTGAACAGCAGTTTTCAGCTCTTTCCACAGATTCTCGATTGGATTCAGGTCTGGACTTTGACTTGGCCATTCTAACACCTGGATACGTTTATTTGTGAACCATTCCTTTGTAGATTTTGCTGTATGTTTGGGATCATTGTCTTGTTGGAAGATAAATCTCCGTCCCAGTTTCAGGTCTTTTGCAGACTCCAACAGGTTTTCATCCAGAATGGTCCTGTATTTGGCTGCATCCATCTTCCCCTCAATTTGAACCATCTTCCCTGTCCCTGCTGAAGAAAAGAAGGCCCAAACCATGATGCTGCCACCACCATGTTTGACAGTGGGGATGGTGTGTTGAGGGTGATGAGCTGTGGTGCTTTTACGCCAAACATATCGTTTTGCATTGTGGGCAAAAAGTTCGATTTTGGTTTCATCTGACCAGAGCACCTTCTTCCACATGTTTGGTGTGTCTCCCGAGACTTTTTATGGATATCTTTGAGAAATGGCTTTCTTCTTGCCACTCTTCCATAAAGGCCAGATTTGTGCAGTGTACGACTGATTGTTGTCCTATGGACAGACTCTCCCACCTCAGCTGTAGTTCTCTGCAGTTCATCCAGAGTGATCATGGGCCTCTTGGCTGCATCTCTGATCAGTCTTCTCCTTGTCTGAGCTGAAAGTTTAAAGGGACGGCCAGGTCTTGGTAGATTTGCAGTGGTCTGATACTCCTTCCATTTCAAAATGATCACTTGCACAGTGCTCCTTGGGATGTTTAAAGCTTGGGAAATCTTTTTGTATCCAAATCCGGCTTTAAACTTCTCCACAACAGTGTATCCGGACCTGCCTGGTGTGTTCCTTGGTCTTCATGATGCTCTCTGTGCTTGCAACAGAACCCTGAGACTATCACAGAGCAGGTGCATTTATACAGAGACTTGATTACACACAGGTGGATTCTATTTATCACCATCAGTCATTTAGGACAACATTGGATCATTCAGAGATCCTCGCTGAACTTCTGGAGTGAGTTTGCTGCACTGAAAGTAAAGGGGGCCGAATAATTTTGCACGCACCGCTTTTCAGTTTTTTATTTGCTAAAAAAGTTTCAAAAATCCAATAGATTTCGTTCCACTTCACAATTGTGTCCCACTGGTTGGTGATTCTTCACAAAAAATTAAAATTTTATATCTTTATGTTTGAAGCCTGAAATGTGGCAAAAGGTTGAAAGGTTCAAGGGGGCCGAATACTTTCGCAAGGCACTGTATATGTGTGTGTGTATATATATATATATTAGTGAAAAAGTTCATTTCTCTCTAGTTTAATTCAGAAAGTGGAAATTTCATATATTTGAGATTCATTACACATGTGTGAAATATTTCAACCCTTTTTTTTGTTTTAATCTGATGATTACGGCTTACCGCTCATGGAAATCAAAAATCCATCCATCTTCTATACCGCTTATCCTTCCTTCAGGGTCACGGGGAACCTGGAGCGTATCCCAGGGAGCATGGGGCACGAGCCAGGGAGCCAATCCATCGCAGGGCACAATCACACACACACACACTCACACACCCGTTCATACACCAGGGACACTTTGGACACACCAATCAGCCTACCATGCGTGTCTTTTGGACTGGGGGAGGAAACCGGAGAACCCGGAGGAAACCCCCGCAGCACGGGGAGAACATGCGAACTCCGCACACACATGGCCACGGTGGGAACCGAACCCTGGAGGTGTGAGGCGAACGTGCTAACCACTAAGCCACCGTGCACGCAATCAAAAATCCAGTATCTCAAAATATTCGAATCTTAATTCCACAATCTTTAAGTTCCTATTCCCTTTGTTCGCTGCATGGAATATAACATAACGGTGCTAGTGCTCTACATGCATAGTGTAGAACGCAATTTTAGCTACAGCTACAGAAAACATGCAACTCTTTGTGTTTCTGTTTTATCCCACTATATACCTTCGTGTGCGCATGCATCGTAAGTCACTTCGTCAGTATTCGCAATACCCTCGCCATCCAGGTATCGTTCCCTATCTATCCTAGAAGACTCTGAGTGTTTTTTTTTTTTTTCACTATACACAGAGTTACGTATACATTACATTTTCTTAGCGTACCCCAGCATGTTAGAAAGTTGGGGTTAGAGCACAGGGTCAGCCATGATACAGCACACCTGGAGACAGAGAGGGTTAAAGGCCCAACATTTCTCAAGGGCCCAACATTAGCAGCCTGGCAGTGCTGGGGCTTGAACCCCCGGCCTTCAGATCAGTAATCCAGAGTCTTAATTGCTAAGCCTACCATATGACCATTACGCTACCTTGATCGGATTACGCAACAGCATGGAAACTGAACTGCAAGCTTTGCTGGCTTTGTTGTCATTCTTAGCAGCCATTGTGCAGTTAAATTCTGTATTTTATAATACTGCAGCTGCCTACATGCATAAGAGGCAAGCTCTGATTCGAGCAATTGTCAAAAAAAATCTCATTTCAAGCAGTGTTAGCCGGTTTGTTGTGCCTACCGGTGACTAGCAACCAACTTCCTGTTTTACACACATGCCCAGTATGCATGAATGGTCATGTGACATGCGTATCCGGTTGTGTAGTGTGGACGGCGA